TGAATTAAAACTTGAATGCCTAACGTCAACCTTGCACCGATGGGAAAGGGGGGAGGGACTCGGGATGCCTCAATTTGACGAGCTATTGCGTTAGCGTCCCAAGAGTTTTTGTCAGGGCTGTCTGAAAACCACGTCTACAGGAAAACGAGTTTTAAACATTTAGAAACGTTCAGAAAAGTTGTGGATTTGTAGGTACAGCAATCTTAAAAAAGTTACCAGGTGTTACCTTGTAACTATTATTTATTCCGAGATCGGAGGCGAATAGATGAACGGTTTCGAATGCATGCTTATTAAGTATCCTCAACGTACTCAAGGGTGGGCTTAGGTTTGAAATAGCAAGTACAAAACATTTCCACATGATCTAAATGAAAATGGTTATGCATATTTACAAGCAGAGAAAAATGGACTTCTAAGTGAAAACAGCTTATAAGGGGCTATTTCTGCTGTCCCCCTCTCCCCTAAGCAGTGTTGATTGTGTTGAATACAACGAAACGTAAAAAAAAAATCACTGATAAAGCGACAGAAGGGAGAAGGCCATTCGTTTTTATTAGGTGATACTAATTAAGGTTCTAAGGACTTGGCTGACGCCATTGCTTGTAGAAAAGGGGTAACACTAACTAGTACTGTACCTTATGAGAAAATGAACGGCAATTTCTTCGCTCAGTTGAATAAGGAACCATTTTGATTCAGCGTTTGGTCGGGCAAGGCCGAAAAGAAACATAAGAAGACTCTCAGTTTTAATGGACAACGACCCAGACAAGCTTTTGATCCCTATAATTTTCTGATCACTATACTTTCTGCTAGGAAATCCGAACAGATGAAAAATTTTTAGGGGATAAAAATAAGCCTTTATCTACCGTTTAAATACTAAAGTACGTTCAACAATGCTATGTTTATGTGGTTTTGAACTATACTCTCGTTGGGTAGCTTTAGGTGCCCCTATTTTTTGTTAATTCTGAGGTGAGAAATGTTGAAATTTGTACATATTTCCTGGAAAGCGCGAAAAAAATGCCCGTTTAGAGGAAATGGGATCACACTGACTATATTTTCGCCATGATCGCGGTACGAATTTCATATAATACGTTTGAAAATCACTTTTCTTAAGTGAGAAATGTTACTGAGAAATGTGTCAGTGTCTCAATGGTAGCGCCCATGACCAACGACCACACGTTATGACATGTACCATTCTTTGCCTTGAATTTTTCAAGGATTCTACCTCTAAATTAAATTGATGAGCGAGTCGTTTAATACTGTACCGAAATCACTAAACTGCTAGCGCCCCTAATAAAACGATCATTGGCATTTGAATTTTTGAATAGATCGTGTGACCATTCCCAGCGTCCCGTTTGGTCATGTGACCTGCCCTAATCAGTTTAAATAAGGCGATAACAACTAAAATCAACTTCTTTTACTAAATTGTAGCACTATCTTTTCAAGTCGGAGTTCACAGTAAAACAAAACAAGCCTACGTAAATAACATGACAACACTTTTTGGTATTTTTCCCCACAAATAGACCCACAAACCATCTCACACATTTGCGTGTACTACTGTTGCAGTTATAAAATCTTCCAAAATAACGCATAATTTAAGCAGAAAGTACAGACATGGACTTTTAGGCAGTTATGGGAAAAAAGGAACAATTTGAGAACACGGAAAATAGTATAAGTCTGTATTTTTATTGTAAACCCATTTTCAGACAACCCTGGTCAAAACGTCTTGGGACACGTGAGAATTAGGCACAAAGACGCACTTTGCTAAATTAACTCATATTCTACCTCTTAAAAAAGCTTGGGATGTTGTTATAAGGGGCTATTTCTGCTGTCCCCCTCTCCCGTAAGCAGTGTTGATTGTGTTGAATTAAAACTTGAATGCATAACGTCAGCATTGCACCGAAGGGGAAGGGGGGAGGGAAGATGCCTCAATTTGACGAGCTATTGCGTTAGCGTCTCAAGAGTTTTGACCAGGGTTGTAGTTAGGAATCGCATTTCATTTTGTAACCTCGTGTGTCGTATCGTTCGGTTTGCTCTCTCCATAGTGTTGTATTTTCCCATCCCTTCCCCTCCTTGGCAGTTGTATTTGTCCCAAATGGAAAACTAGCAGCCCATCGACGACCCACATACGGACGATTGTTGTCTTTATTGCGTGATTAAAGGCACGGCTTTGACTGCACCACTCACTTCAACTGACGTTTTAAATAAACATTTTGCCTTAAGATGGTTATATTTCTAAGCAGGTTTATTTAAAGCGAAAACTCGAGCTTATAAATTATTTTAAACAACTTCCTTTAATTAGGGTTTCTCTATTAACTATTTCTTTTTAACGCCGAGGGGAATAAACAAACATTGTTAATAGGTAAGAGCTAAAATTCAGCTGGGTATTGTCATAACACTGAGCTTAAATTAAAAACTCTTTTAACTCTTCCTTTTTAAAGACAGAAATGAATTAATAGAGCTAAAAAATAACACCGACTGAGCTTATAAGTTACTTCACATACGCCTTTATGCTCTACTTTTATTTTCTCTTGCTGTTTAAAGTGTCAAAAAGACTTACACTCAGGGTGGAACACCTTTCTAATTTACAATTTACTTGAGAAAACTGGACATTCCGGTTGTTTGTGTCATTCTTCAGAGAAGATTTAAGACGAAGTAATTTCTCAGGGGCACCCAACGAGAATATGGCACTTAAAAATAGCATTGTTAAACATGTTTTAGTATTTAAACGGTAGACATAGACATATTTCTATTCCCTAAACATTTTTCATCTGTTCGGATTTCCTAGCTGAAAGTCTAGTGATCCGAAAACTATACCGATCAAAACGTACCGTTTCGAAAATTTCAGCCAGAAAAAAGGCTTCCGAAAATTCTGGATGACTATTTTAGGGTAAAAATCCGTTAAAAATGGGCAATTATACCATTTTTTAGATGTTCGAAAATCCCAGGAGAGGCAGACAAGCAAGAAATTTTTCGAAAATGTTCCGAAAATTCTAGATCTCAAATCGTCTTCCGAACAGATATTTTCCAAAAATTGACGCTGGGTGCCCCTTATTTTTGTACTCTTTTCAGTCTGTTTAGCCGATTTGGATATAATTTGTAGCAGTTCGTTCTCAAACTACGTGAAATTTTGCCCCTACCCCCCCCCCAATTTTTCATAACCAATGTTTCCAATTTTCGAAGTCAACGGTTGTCTAAAATTTTAGGGTGTAAAACGGGTAAGTTATGGTTTTGGATGAGCATTTTCAATAGTTTTAAATCTATGCACAAGATTTGCACCTGGGTGGTTTGTGTAAATGCATGGTAAGCATCTCTCAGCTTCCAAAGATTGTTTACTAAGTATGCAATACAACAGACGCGCTGATCAGACATAACAACTCAGGTTTGACTGATGTTCTAATTAGTCTGGCTGCCAGAAGCGACACACACAATTGAAAAGAAATTCATAGATAATTAACATTTAATATTGCATATAAATTGATGGTTTTTGAGAACACCTATCGCTTTGGAAAAAGACCCAGTGTTTTACAGTGTTTGTCAGGTTCCCCAATTTCACGGAGTTCTCCGACAGTCTCTTCACCGATCGGCGATGTTGTCCTTTTACTTTTGCTCGTTGCCCCTTATTCCGTTGTTTTCTGTGATACCTAATGCGGCTTTTGCTCAAATGGAAGGTTAGTTTTCTTTTATTTATATAGAAGGATATAGACTGACATGACTTCTTGTGCTTTGTATGTAACATATGACTTTCCTTGGTAACTAAAAATTCCGGTGAGTGCGTTAGAGAGAATGTATAAGAGCTCCTAAAATTTTGCCCGACCTAAGTGAGGACTGTGGATGTAAACTAGGTTTTGTTTTTTAATCAGTTTTGATAGCACACAGAATTATGACTTTAACTCTAAAGGTCGTAAATTATCTATCACAGAACTGGCGGGTTTTAATTTATATCCACAAGAGTTCATCGAGCGCCTACAAGTCCTCATTTACCTTATTTTGTCCAACCTGCTTCGGTTTTGACTTACATGTAACTAACGTTTGCGACCTCTAGTTCATTATAATCATAAAACCTAACAATCACCAGGGGCACCCAACGTCAATTTTCGGAAAATATCTGTTTGAAAGACGATTTGAGATCTAGAATTTTCGGAACAGTTGTTTTAAAATTTCTTGCTTGCCTGCCTCTCCTAGGATTTTCGTACATCTAAAAAATGGTATAATTGCCCATTTTTAAGGATTTTTACCCTAAAAAGGTCACCTAGAATTTTCGGAAACCTTTTTCTGGCTGAAATTTTCGAAGAGGAAAGTTTTGATCCCTATAATTTTCGGGTCACTAGACTTTCCAGCTAGGAAATCCGAACAGATGAAAACTTTTTAGGGCCCATAAAAATATGACTATATCTACCGTTTAAATACTAAAATACGTTCAACAATGCTATGTTTAAGTGGTTTTGAACTATATTCTCGTTGGGTGCCCCTGAATCAAATTTTGCCGAGTTTTTTTTACCGTATTTGGCCTTTATGGCTAGATTTGGTTGTGTTGTGCTCAAAAGTGGATTTTCTCTGAAAACGTGGTACTTTTCGTGAACGCATTACAATTTAACCTCGGACACACACGCAAATTCATACCCCTAACGTGGTACAAGGGGGGAGGGGGGTTGATAGAACCCTCCTTAGAGGTTTTGAAAAGATTTTTTCCTTCAGTGGAAAGCCCTTGATCTTCTCTGTCAACAAGATGAGGTACATTTTACGGGTGGTGGCGCTGCTGGAGGCCCATCGCGTCACCAACAATGATCGCCATCTTGGATTATACCAAGAATTAGAAATCCGATTAAAACCGCGAGAAACTGATATTTTTTTGGTGCTTGACATTTAAAATAATACATAAATAAGCACTTTGCTAGACTTCAGTCAAGTCTGAAACTTCCTGAGAAAACTTTCCCTTTATCGCTCTGTTACACACACACCCTGTTGATGAAAACGGTGCTGGAAGATTGTAGAGGTGGCCGGATAAAATGATTTGCTCACTCATATTCTGCTTCATCTTTGGGGCAGTTCTGGAAGCCGAAGAAGAATCTAGATCTTCATACATAGTAGCCCAAGAGAACAAGCTTTTACAAGGCTATGCTGTAAAGAGAATCGATTCTACCGATGAAATGTCATGCAGTCAAGTATGTTTAAGGCATTCTTGGTGTACTTCTTCTAACTTTGAAGAGTCTTCAGGCAATTGTGAACTGAACAAGCACGAGTTTTCAATAACTGCAGATGATGACATTAAGCTCACTGATAATACGGGCACAACGTTTTCAATGTTTCTTAAGGTGAGTCGAAGAGAGGTTTGACAACAACGTATGCGATGTAAGGACTGCGTTCAAATCAATTTTTAGTGAACTAATACACATATGGTCTGTTGGAACAGGGGCGGATCTAGGGGGAGGGTGCAGGGGGTGCGCACCCCCCCCCCGATATGACCTGCGGTTTTCTAATACAACCGGTATTCTGCAAAAAAAAAAAATGTGGTCTATTGGTGTTGAAGTAGAGCAAGAGACGAGTGCACCCCCTCCTGAAAAAAATGCTGGATCCGCCCCTGTGGAAAAACAGTAAAGTTGAGTTTTTTTAGGATGCATTTATCAAAAATGGCATCCAAAGCGGGGATATATCTTGTATTGGAGCCAGTCATATTCTGAGTCCTTTTGCTACCAGTTTCAATCTGCGACAACTGATTTTTTAATGTTATTGACGGCTATGTATTCTTGCCTTCAATTGGTTTCCTTGTTTTTTAATTACAGTTAAGAAAAATGTGCAGTGAAAAAAAGGAGAGTCCGTCGAACATTGAATTTATAGAAATCGTATTTTGGTTTCTAAGTTCAAAGTATATATTGTACAGATATGATTTCACAGGTTCCAGAGGAGTTTCGTGTGAATAAAACGAATTACTTACCTTGAAAAATGTCTATACCTGTCGCTTAGCACGATTAATTAGCCCAATGGGAACTTTATAAATCTACTGTAAACGATTTCTTCGCTTCTTATCTGACCCAGATCGACTTTTGAAAATCGATAACCGCAAGCCATATCCTCGCTGGCGCACGGCACGTCGCCCGAAGGGCGACCGAACATACTGTAAGCCGATCTTGCGAGCCCTCAGTCTCTTGGTTTGCGGTCTATAGAATGTGTAACGAAACCGTAACGCGATCAAAATAACCCATTTTTTCAGAGGTTTTCGACGGGTTTTGATGTTCTAACGACAAACACATCTCCTCTGGACCCTGTGATGATTTGCACTGCGCCTTAATCTTGAGAGATCCGTACGCACTGCAAGGATAACATGAATTTGAACGTTTTTGCCCTAAAACATTTGCTGCAGGAAGTCGATGGAAAAAAACTTTTGTTCACCCAAGTAAAATGTGATTTTCTGCAGGGTTGTCTGATGGCTGGATGCCTCAACGGAGGTTCTTGTTTGTTCGACAAAGAAAAAGACGCTTTCGCTTGCTCCTGCAATCCGCAGTGGAGTGGGGGAAAATGTGAACTAGGTAAATTCTTATTTTTTTCTCCCTTATAATAAATATACGATAGTGAAAGAGGTGTACTGTTTGAATCAATTGTCTGTATCTGGCAAATATTTCAGTGGTACAAAAAAAGTTAGACTGTTGGCAGATTGCCAATATAATGAACCTTCTACTCTGTGTGAAAAGTATGTAATATTTGGCGTTTAGTTTTAATTTCCTAGCCTCGTCAAATGTGGATCGGCCTGGGATTAGAGTGATTAGGGTCTGTTAAAAGGGAAAAAAAGCAAATAATGGTGTGAAGAGCCTGCTATATGCTGGTCCCATGTATGGTTGTTGCCAGTTTCAATTTTCGGTTTGCCATCTTGTGTTCCATCTTGTAGTCCAGCCAACATCTTTCGCGAGTTTCTTCATTTGATATACTACCCGGGATGGAATAATTATAATCTGTTTTTGTAGACATTGACGAATGCACAAAAAATACCCACAAGTGCGGTGCCAATGCTTACTGCAATAATACCAAAGGAGGATACAACTGCTCTTGTCATCCGGGATATTACGGAGATGGAAAGAATTGTGAACCAGGTGCGACAGACAACTATGTAAGCAGACAATACCGTTAAGTCACTCAGTGCCAAAAGTACAATTTACTTGGCCATTATTCCTTGACGGTTAAACGGCGGCATTTTTATATATAGACAAGAGCAATAATGGGTCTTGAAATAGAATATGGACACACATATAACTGAAGACAGTCGTAGGTCTTCTTTTCAAACGGAAAATGGTTGGGAAGGTATTTTTAATATTAAAGGTATCTTTTTAAAAGAATCATGCTGAAATTTTAAATAAAACAAACTAAACGAGAATAAAATTTTGTGACCATAAGAGAGAAACCAATTCCCGTCGCTATGAGCTGGTCTTTATTTTGATTAAGAAGACTACTTTTTTCTTCTCATCGTTTCTTGTAATATCGTTTATTAATAATGCCAATTTAAGCACTAAAGCACACGTACCAACTCCGCGATTTTCCGCGGTATGGCCATTACCTTACACATGCGCACAAGCATACCCTGGCAGTGGCAGCCGCATGGACGGCTGTTTCGCCCTTATTGGGTGCCGGGATATACGCCGATTATTATGCCCGGCTAGACCAAAAGCGTGTTAAGGGAAGTCGCTAGATTGTGTAGTTTGGGTCAGTTCTGTATGGCAGTAATTCGGTTCAATCGGTTACTTTAATGTGAATAATTAGACTGTACAGGTCCCTAATAATGCTTGTTTTCTTCAAGCTTTATATGACAACTCTGATCTATTAATTACCCCCTTGTTTATTTTGTTGTACAGTTTCATCGTGTAAGGATCTTTTTGACAAGAAAATGTGAGTAAAAATTACAAAGTTTATTTTTTAGGCTCTTAAAATAACGAAATATGTCGGTGCCGTTGAATGCGCCCGAACTGTGCTTGTTTTGCCCGTGAGATCCAAATATAAGTGATTTATCAGCTGTCATTATGTTATTTCGATTGCAACTGTTCGAAGTTCTTCCTGGCAAATGCGATGATGGTGGTATCGCAAGTAAACATTCAGCTTAGCTACCTTCAGTGCAGTCAGTACGTATAATTATATTTGAGCTAAATGAGTCCCACAGCAGCTACTCTCTTACGCAGTTCTTGTGTCTTGTGCTCTTGATTCTTCCTGCGATGCGCGATAGTTAGGAGCTGGAAAAATTAAAATGATATTTCATTTTGTACAGGTTGAACGTGACTCAGTTGATCACTCTCCTCCTTGACTCAAAACTAGTTTCAGTTCTCTGTCACTTTGGAAATTTTGGATGCGGAGATGGAGGATGGACACCGGTCATGAAGATGGACGGCAACAAGGTAAGACATTTGTGTACGTATTCCCTTAGTTTGCGACGAGAGTGGAAAAAAAAATGCAGGTTTGCCTCTTTCAGCGGTAATTTTCATTCCTCCCACCCTGTGAATACAGCCGAGTCTCCTCGGTCCTCGTCGCTAGGGACGTCTCATCAGGAGGAACGTCTGCACCTCAGCGACAGAAATTTCATACTAATGACGTAAAATTGTAAAATTTTCTGGGGGAGCATAACCCCAGCCTCCGAGTTTGAAGCGCCTTCGGTGCTCTTACTTTTCTTCTCGTTGGTACATGCTAAGTCCCTGGATCTGAAAGATTTAAGTATTAAGAACGCCTTTAAGCTTCTGGAATATCTCGGTCAGTAGCAAAGTCATCCGCCCTTCCTGTCAGACGATGTGAAGGTTTCATAAAAAACGGAAGCCTTGTCTCTGTACTTGCCGATACGCGAGAGTTAAAGATAAATATATTCAATTCGGTATTTTTCAATCCTATCAATTACCAACTAATGATTACGGAGTGCAGTATTTCTTTACTTTTTATTCTATTGCTGACCATTAACGCCATTTCGCCTGATTTGGCTAATTTCATTTTATAAAGCTGGAGAAACAAGGACGTTATAGATATTCTTTTCATTGTAATTGATCTTCCATTGCAAATTGTGTTTTTTTTCTTCTCCGGGAAGGATGTCGTCTTTAAAAGAAAAAATAAATCTTTGAAGTTTTCTTCTTAAAGGACAATTTCTCTATTTCTTTCCTCCTTTGTACCACAGAAAACGTTTCACTACAAGAGTGCTTTTTGGAGCAACAAAGAAACCTTCAACCTTGACGGAGAGAAGACTGGGTTTGACTCACAGGAGACCAAACTTCCCTCCTACTGGAACACTTCCTTCACCAAGATCTGCCTCGGTATGAACATCAATGACAACCAGTCCAAGTTTATTGTTATCAACAAGCAGGCGAACTCCTTGTACTCTCTGATCGCTGATGGGCAGTACCGCAGAACCTCACTTGGTCGTGACACATGGAAATCACTGATTGGTTCTGAGGCCTCCTTGCAGTCCAAATGTAACAAGGAAGGATTCAATGCTGTTAGTGCGATTTCTAAATATTCCAAAGCCAGGATCGGTATCCTTGGTGACCACACCAACTCTTGCAATACCTGTAACTCTAGAATTGGGTTTGGTACTGGAGGATTACATGATGATACCAACTCATGCGGAAACGAGGGTGGCGGGAAGCACATCAAGGCAATGGGATATATTTTGGTGCAGTAAAAAGAAACTAATCTTTGGGATTAATTTACATTTGGCACCAAACGAAAGTGTAGCTTAAAGAAAATCTTTTTCTCTCTTTGTTTTTTGTGGATAAACAATAGACTATGTCTAGATTGAATTTAAGTTAACCATTGTATATTAGAAGTAAAAGACACAATAAGAAACTAAGATTAAAAGGTATTGGTTACTGCAAGCCAGTCTCGCTATTGCTCTACCCTCTAACAAAAACTATCTTATTTTGAGATTGGAGGTGAGTTTTCAGTTTTTACTTTTTTTTTTCATTATTGTGTTTTACTTAGATCAGCATTTGAAGAGGACGAAGTTGGTGATGCGAGTACATTAGCTTTTCTACGTAGTCTGTTTTCCAAGTTCTTTTAAATTGGCGTCCTTGAAGAGTTTACAAATTCCAAACTACTGTAGTAATGAATATAAAACAAAGTACTGTCCTGTATCGGTAATTAGAAACGGTCAGTGTTAAGAGGCCCTGCGCCTAAGAAACGACCGATGATTTCCGGCTAAAAAATAAAATCGGCCGATTTTTATCTCCCAAGTAGAGGTTACCGAATACTATTCAAAAATGAATTTCTTTTGTTTCAGTTTCGCTTTAAACCAAAAATATCGAGCCGCAAACTTTTTCCGTCTGATAGCAGCAAAATCAGGCCTAAAATAAGCCCTCGCAAAAAACGGTTCAGAAATCACTATCGCAACGCAAAATAGCGAGAAAACCACACAGTGATGAAGAAAAAGGCCTTTTAATGCAATATCATTCGATAAACATCGAAAAACTGCCGAAGGGAATAAAAAATAAATTTTCAAATATTGCCTATTAAATTAGATGGAGCGTTGGAGTTGATTTTAAAACAATAATTTCTCAAAAGTCCAACGCTCTTGAAAGGAATCACAGTGATGAATCAGACATTGGAGGGATATACATCACGTTTTCGGAAAAACATTTTTCGGCCAAAGTATACTGACGTTGTAAAAACCGTTCAAAGTTACCGTATTTACCGTTAAGTTGCCACTTCGGCGAAACACTTCTCTGTTGCCAATATGGCCAAGGATAGCGTGGTAAACGCCACTTTAAGCCTTGCTAGGCGCTCAAAATCATCCTAAATAGAAGTATATAGAATTAAAAGAGAAAGGAAAATGAAAGATTCGCAGAAAAGGAGAATGACTCGAAATTACCATCTGGTAGACAGCGTTCATTTGTCCGAACTGCAGCGGGATCCAAACAAATACGTGAAATATAAGTTTAAAAAAAAAACAGTCTTTCTATCACCAGAAATCGTGAAGTGAAACAGTTTTATGTTTTTCCTATTAATGATGGTGAATTCTGCCTCAGCTGGTCTCCAAGTACTTTGAAGGTGGGCTGCTTGTATTTCATTACATACATTCCAACGGACGTTACGGGTCAGCGCGTGTAGGGGTCAGCGGACCTGAAGAAAGGTGACGAAGTTGGAGAGCAACGCCATGCTAGGGGGGACATTGGTAGGTACCCAATACCCAAAATAAATGCAGTATCGGTATTTCGTCGATTTTTGATACGGTATTTCGGTATTTACCAATTTTTCTCACGGTATTGCGGTATTTAATCAATTTAATTTAATTCAGGAGCCCATCATTGATGGGCTCCTGTTTAATTTTGCAAGGAAACGTGAGACGACCTCGAACTGATCGGTAGAACGAACGAAAAAGATACCCTACCAATTTCATCACAGATTATCTGTCAGAAATTGTGTAATGGTAATCATTTACCATTAATCTAAAGTCTTAAAAATACTGACGTGCATTAAACTAGCCTGCGTAGCAGGCACTTGGAAGTAGTGGTCGCGAGAGAGAACTGGCACGCGTGAGGGAGACACGCGAGGGGTCATCCAAACGCCTGCTACGCAGGCTAGCATGAAACAGGAGAGGGCAATGAACAGGACCGCAATACCGTGATCTTCTTATGCCGAAGACCGTTAACCAAACGGAAGAAATATCGCATACCGCAGGGCTAAATGATATTACCGCAATACCCCACTTTAAAATCCAAATTACCGAAATACCGCATGAAAAAAAGCTCAATACCGTAAGCCCCCATTTCCCCCTCCATGCTGTTGAAGAGGTGATAGAATATTTGGGCTTAAAACATCCAATTATATTTGATGTTTACAATCTTTGTCATAATTATCACAGCAACAAACTTTCATCTTTCAATGTTAGTGTTGAAAGACATGTGCGGGTATTTCGAAATACCTTACAAATCTACAGATCTAAAAAGAGACCTTTTAGCCAAGGTTTCAGTGTAAAGGAATGTGACTGAGTGCAGCAAAAAATAATTTCATTCTGTAACTTTCCTGCGCAAGAGTTTGAGTGCATGGTATGCTGTCCAATCGGTAATGTGACAAGTTGTGCTTTGTGCATTGGTTATCATCTAAATATCATAAATATTATTGTGGAAACAAATTATGAAGCATATCATAAAATGAAGTTGCAAAATGAGTGAGGCACTTTCATCGATTTAAGGTGGTTCCCTAGAGTAAATTGGCCGTGCGTGCGTAAATTGAACTATCAAGGAAAAATGGGCAAAAATGACAAAATTACCGCCTCTTTAAGGATGCGATGTTTCCATGGCAACGGCCTTAATATAGAAAATGAAACTTGATAAAGGAGCCTTCTTATATGGGTAACCTTAGCGGTGAATCTCGTGAACAAAATCGCAAAGACAAAGTAACTAGATTTCCTTCTGTAACGTATGCTTGATAGCTCGGATTATTAGCAATACCCTGGGGAGCCACCTTAACAGTCCTACCGGTCTCCTATATTTTTTTATGATGTCCTCCCCAATATTTGGGTGACCCTATTCGGCGGAATGGCGGAATACATGCAATCAGTTGTAAAATATGGAATATACGTAATACTCTAAAACACTGAATTTACAGAATATTCTGTATTTGATTTGAACTGGACTGACGAAAAAGTAGAGGCAATATTAAAAATTCAATTTTCGTACTGCCTTAAGCCACACTATAGACCTTATGACGGTCTTGAAAGCCATCTTGACGGGTGAAGGGTCCGGTATCACGGGAATCTAATGTCGGATAACTTTCATAAAACGGCTGTTCTAAAAAAAAGAGAATTGTAAACTTAAGCCTGACAGGATTGTACTACCAATTAATGGGGGCCGCACCTGTGCCTAAATTTGTCCGGTCGCATGCTTTAGATTTTCCAGAGTCTTCAAAGTCTTCAAAGGAATGATCTCTTCTTCAAATTTTGTAGAGATTGCTCGGCTGGTCGTTCTGGCGAGGAAGGATCCAGGGACAACAAGTCCGTTTTCCAGTCTCCTTGATCCATTTCCTTAATCGACTTGCACTTTGTTTTGACTGTGAGCTTTTTTAAGAAAGGTGAATATAAGGAAGGAAAGTTCCATCGACAAAGTGCCCAACAAGTTTCAAGGTAAGTCCCTCGCGTTGACTGAGCATTCACCGTCAGTATTTGTTACTGCTACAGTTACAAGTGTGGTTCGTTTTTAAATAAATATCAAAGTTCTTTTTTTAACATTTGGTTGTTTCTCAAAAAAGAAATAAGCGCCCTGTCCCGAATAAGCGTCCTCCCTAGAGGCACCAAAAGTAAATAAGCGCCTGGGCGCTAAATCGAATCATTACGGTAAGTCAATTCTTTCTTTTACTTGTCACGCGCTTAAAACATGGTTCGAGTTAATGAGGGTAAAACTATATAAAAAAGATCTGAAGAGAAACAAAAATTAGTATTACTTCGAGTTAGCACGAGGTTTGAGTCAGTAGCTAGGGTTCGAGTTATTGGAGTCGACTCTATACATGTATACCCTTTTTAAACGATTTTTCTCTTACTAATATACATAGATATAGATATATTTAACAATTATTCCACGAGGGCGCGTTGGATATGAGATGATAGATAGCCAACGAGGCGCATAGCGCCGAGTTGGCTATAATCATTTCATATCCAACAAGCCCGAGTGGAATAATTGTTTTATTAAAAACGCCCACAAAATCTCGTTGAATCTCCCCGACTAGAACAAACCGGAAAAGACAAGAGACTTCCGCTATTGACATGTCACACGTCTATCAAAACTGTCAACGCGCGAACCGGGCTCGCCTAGACTACATGAATGAAAAATCAAAACATTGTGCGATGAACATTAGTTTTTTAAAAACTCATCGTGATTCTAGGATTTTACACAGCAGAACAGCTTAAAAAACCTGGCAGATAATGCGAAGGAAAGGAATTTTTAAGTGACAGCCGTGGAAATTACTATGAATTTGGATTTTCGGTGCAGTTATAAAAGTAAGAACAACGGAGAAAAACTACCGGTATTACCTTGGTCGCTTGTTATGAAGTTGTTTGAAGCCACAAGCTGGTTTTGCTGAACGAGAAAAGAAGCTATACTGCCGCCTCGATTGCTCTAGTGAATGGCAGCATAGCCTGTATTTGTAGCTGGTTACTTGTGATTTATATTCTTGATGTCGGATAAACAAGCTGCAGTTATCTATCGGCGAGTGACTCGATCGGCGAATGGCTTCGCGATCATGAAGAAACAACACTTGTCTTCTTTCGTAGCTGGTCAAGGTAGTTTAGTTCCATGTGTTTTTCGACAAACTTTCAAACAAGCTCTTGTGGCTGTTTTGTTTGTTTTTGTCTTTTTTCTTTCGTTGAAATTGCATTTCTAGTATTCTAAGAAATGAATTAAAACGATTTGCTTCGGGCGCCGTTCTATCCTTCGCGAAAAAAAATCTCAGCTAGCTTCCAATTTTAAACTGACGCGTACACCGACCATATATGGAGAACATGGTATATTAGCTCATATACCATAACGGCTAAGCCAATCAAAATGCTAGAATTGCATTATCCAATGATTCAGTTTTTAATAAATATATTTATTAAAAACTGAATCATTGGATAATGCAATTCTAGCATTTTGATTGGCTTAGCCGTTATGGTATATGAGCTAATATACCATGTTCTCCATATATGGTCGG